AATCATTTACAAATAATAAACCTTATTTTACTAAATACATAATATTTTTCAGCCTTGTCAATTATTATTTCCTTTGAAGTTATCCTGCCGAGAGACTAATCCACTGAACTATTGAATTGGTAGTTCGAGCCATAAACTAAACCTTTAAGATCGAACAGTCTCAGCTTAGCGTAATCATGATTACGCAGTAACACAGCAGCTCACTATTCAGTCTCCAAGCTTCTTTCTACAGTCATCACTCACTGTAGATACACACGTACGTAATTGCTCAACCAGTAAGCAATTTGACTATACAATAGTGAAGCACATTTCAGAATCCGCTAATATCGAATCATACTACATATATTAACGGATTACACGGAACCTAAGGCAGCAGCAAAACGGTCCCCCTTTAGAAAGCTTTGGTACAACAGCAGCAGTTCTTACGCACCGACACAAAGGCAGGAGCAACCCAGTCTCACTTAGGCAGCAGCGGTACAACAGCGGCGGCTCACACGCATACTACTACAGCGGCACTTCTCGGAAGGGAAGGAGTCACTCCACACATCACGGAGAGTACATACACTCCCGTCAGCATGTAACACTATTGAAGAAACTTCCTTTAATTATTCGCTCACACCTTCATTCACACACTTTATGATTATTAACTATTTATTACATTATTATATTTAATAAAGGAAAGAAAGGAAACACTGCATGTAGTATTGAATAATTGCATTGTCCCTTCCACTTCCAGCAACACCTCCAACCAACATCTATGGAGATTTTTAGTCTGATCCCAGACAGGATTAAACTATTTTAATAGTTGCCAAATACAATATTTTCTACAATTATGATAATAAAATATTTTAATACATTGAACAATTTTTTAAACATATTCTATTTTTAGATTTAGCGGAACTAGTTGCTCGGCTAGGTGTATAGTTATCATTTTCTCTGGAGTAATTATCGAACTCGTAACAATTAAGTTCAATTCCATTGGTGTAGGTGGAATTGTAATTCGTGAAACTCTTGTAAAGTTTTTCATTTTCAAATCCTGAGAATACAGTAAGTGTATAATTAGGATAAATTAAAGATGTTAAATAACCATCACTGAAAGGAAATTGGGGTCAAGTAGCATAATACTGTTTTATCGCTGGCCAAGAAACATATTTAAAACAACTACAGTATTCAAAACGTGTAACACATAACCCATTTCATAAGAATAATTTGATCTTGAATGTTCTGGCAAAACATTTTCAGTAATTTGTAATAGATTTAATTTATTACAAGTTCTATATTTAAATAAACTTGCATTTTTTTGTATTAATGAATGATAGTGGATTTTCATTTGGCATATTGTTTAATAACTCTTTCCATAAAATATCATAAATAATAACATTTGGATCTATTAAATTTGAATAAAAACTACGATAGGAATTTATCTAGCTAATCGTAATTTATTGTGGCTTCCTTGAAATAAATCTACCATGTTTACTTCAATGGGAAAATAATCAAGCCTTTGAATTAAAGTTTTAGGCATATTTTCAATGGTAAGCGGATAAATAAAAATACTCATACAATTAAAGATATTAAAACTATGAAAACTATATATTTTAAGATTTCTATTTGCTCGTCACTCAATTCGATAAAATTGTTTTCAGTATATCAAGAAATTGATTTTCCGTGAATTTGAGAATACTTGGTAATATTTCATGCATTTGTTCTTTAAAATTTTGAATTCTATTATTTTTAATTTTAATTTGTAATTCTGAGCTTTTATAAATGGTAATTTAAAAAAAGTATTTGTATGATTAAATACAATATTAAGGCTTAGATATAGAGCATTTACTTCTTTTTAATTTAATTGAATCAAGTGGAGTAATTCAAAATTTTTATTAAAATCAGTAGAATTGTTTAATAAATCTGGTGTTTGTTTTAAATTATATATGCGTAAATTCGGCACAATTACATTATAAATGATATTGTTTACATTAACGCTATTAATTCTTGATTCATTTTTAAGTTTTTGTGTTAGAATATTTTTAATATTTATTTTATTATTTAGTTTCTTAATTGATTTAATATTATTAATCACTTAAGGATTAATTTCTATATATTTATGTTTATCGTAATTTTTAGTAATGTTTAATCTTCATATTTCAAAATCAACCATTTTATTCTTTTGTATATATTGCGTGATTTCTAATATTTTAAATTCTATTAATTTGTTACAAATTTTTATGACTTTAGAATTAAATTCTGTGATTTTATTATTGCAGAAATGGATCTTACTGATGGATTACATTTTAAAAATTAATTTTTTTTATATTCTTTTTATTAATATTTAACAGTCTTATTACATTACCGGCAATCCTTTGATATTGTGCAAAGTAATCAAATGTTTCTAAATTTTTATTTTCTCTATATTTATTAAAAGTTTCAAGTATTTGGATCGTCTTATTATTTACATTCAAATCAATTTTTTTAGTCTTATAATACGTCTTTGTTCTAATCTGTTGTATATATGTAACTTATCGTTTGTAATTTGTAGATCTGTAACGTATCGTTTGAAATATAAAGATCGACAAATCATTAGTACGTTCATGATCATATATATATATATATATATATATATATATATATATATATATATATCCCACGTAAGACTTGTTTTTAGACAAGTTCTATAAAGGCATCTGCATTTTTCTTAAACAAGTTGTAGGATCCTTCGAGTCATTGCAAACGTATTCAAGAATAGATACGATATTAATGCCGACTTCTGGCTACATAGACAAAGGCATAAATACGTATTTTTATAACAAAATTAACAATATTTTTATAATATATCCATTATTTATTTCGATTCCTTATTCAAGGATACTTTTTATTTCTATAAACAACCATGATTTTTATAATACATTAAAATCCAAAATGTTTAGTTTTATAAATGTCTGTATGAAGGTGTAAAAAATTATCATAAAAATACAAAAAATAGGTTCTTATTTTACTATAATGTAGACCTATAATATAGTATTATTTTAAATTACCTTTAGAAATTGTATCTAATTATTAAGTATTATTTTCTGATCAGTATAAATATTAATATAAAAAAGAGATATTATATTATATTACCGATAACTTGAAACTGCGAATATAAATAGTAATAGATCAATATTCTATATTACATATAAAGATATTTTATAGTTGAAAGATGATTTGCTATAAAGTAATATTATTCAAGTATATTGTATGTTGTACTATGTGGATATTGGTCTTTTTGAATACAAGTATGCGTAAATGATCTATAGCAAAGATAATTTTAAAGTTTTCATTTTTTTTAAGATTTACATTTTGAACCTTGAATTTCGTGTAATACTAAGAATAACTAAAAAAGATAAAAGAGTGAAGGAATTCTTACATTTAGAAGTTCTATTTTTAAATATAATCAAGGTAACATAAAATATATCATCAGTTTACTCTGTAACTTTCGTATATACATAAATTATCATCTCATTTACTCATTGCATATACATTTACGATACAAAGACGATGTAGTAAGACTACATTTATCTTACCTTCTTTTTCACTCTCCGCATTAAAACTTACAATCAGGGTCGGATAAAGCACTGCTGAAGTCGATGACTCTTTTAAATCTCGATGATTCATTTAAAATTATTATTAACTTTTTCAAACATTTAATAAATATAAACATCAGTCATATTAACACGTAATTTTGTGTTTTATTAAAACTTCGAATCAAGAGTTCAAATGTAATAGTAACATTTTAATTGTAAATATTCTTATATTTATTCTTTATAATTCATTCTTTGTTGTTAATATTACAAATTTATATTATAAAAAGATTATAATATATACATGTCATTATTTTTATTTAAAAAACTTTGAATCTATTATTATACTTATATTGTGTATACATTGTATTTTAATTAAATAATTTATTTGTATTAAATAAATATTTTTTAGATTACTAATTAAAATGAAAATGATAGTAGATATTTTCTATATGTTTATAAAATATAATTTAGAAACACAGATTGACTGATACATTATTTAAATAAGCATTATAAGTTAATATGAATATACTGGTTAAGCTTTAATTAATTTAAGGTTTCATACAATAAAATTAACAATAAAAATATAAGAAATGTTATATATTATTATCTAAAATAAAAAAATATCTGAAGCTAAGTAGATAAACAAATTCACTGTACTATATTAATTAAAATTAATGGGCATGCTAAATTTTAATATAAAATAGAAATTTAAATTAAATACATTATGTCTCGTTATAATTAGAAATAACCATTTTGTTAAATACTCTAAATGATTATTATCTTTAAATCACTAAAATATATCTTTATAATACTAAATGTTATTGTTTTTTTTAAAATATGTGTATTTGATAATATCAATCATTATTTTATAAAAAATTATGTTCAGATTCATATAGATTAATGTACATAATATTTGATGTAATTAATACATTATATAATGATTAATGTAATTAATATTAATTATACGAACATAAATGTTTATTATAGGAATATTAAATATTTGAGTCTAACCGCCTAATTACCATAAAGTACTTAAATGTTATACTTAATATAAAAATTCGTTTATATAAATTAATACATTAATAAAAATTGTTTTTTTAACTTAAATAATATTTATGTAAATTTACAATATGAATACTTAGAAAAATTATGGAAGAGATAAATTAAAAATATTAATGAGATAAAAATACTTATAATTTGCAATATCTTATCTTAATTAAAGAATAATAGCTATACAATGCACATACTCACGATAAACTTCAAATAAGAATGTATCAGGAGTTGTACGTAATATGAAAATTATATTGTAAATATAGTATACGTGTAAAGCAAAGATCATTAATTACTATTACTAATAAAGTTATTATAAATGCTTCGGGAGTAATACAATTATTTGTATTATATTTTTAATTAATACGTTATATTTTATATCTAGGAAGGCGGTCTTAGAAGTAAATTTAAAAACTCCTAGAGATGAATTCCAAAAAGTTCGCGTGCGTCTTGCTACGTGCCTGTGTTCGGCAATAAGACTTTCGAATGAGAAAGAAACTCAACATATGAACTGGGAGGGGCGCACGCTATTGTGGATACCGTTGTAACCGAGTCAAGAGAAGCCGTAATTTCAAAATCAGCTGCCGAGTCAAACGTAGGCGAGCGTTCGAGTAACTCAAAGTACGTAATAAACATGGAAGTGAGCGGTCGATTGTCACTACTACTGTTGCTACTTATGATAACATTGTTGATAGGAGTTATGGCTACCGAGAAACCAAGTATTTTAAGGCGACTCCATTCAAACATGGTTGATTTTTGGTCTAATCTTAGTAATACCATCGATAGCCATGTTCATAGGAAACATCAAGGTAGGTTGCTGTTACTCTTTTGTATAACTTTTATTTAATTTTGCTTATTACACTTTGCATCGTAAAGAAATTTCTGATAAGAATACTCTAGTTATTTTTACTACATGCTCTAAATTTATATTTTAGTGCTATTGATATGATTAAATTTGAGAAATTCAAATACATTACCAATTTTTCACATTTATAAACATAATTATCGAATCTATTTTTTTAATTTATTTTCTTTTAATTACATTTTGTAATTCTATTTCATAATCAATACTAATTGATTAATTTTTAAATTATCAATGTCTACTTTCCAGTTCTTAAATATCTTTATTGGTTTCATATAATTTTTTATTATTCATTTATTTATTATTATTTTATATAATTATGTATATGAACTTATCGTTTGTGTATATCATATTAATTAAAATTTTATTGTTCTTAAAGTTAAATAAATTGATGAAAATATTAACTTGATTATTTATTAGCATTTTGATCTTAAATTTTCAATCATTTTTAAACGTTTTTATGTATATTTGTTTTCCATCATTTTATTTGAATATTATTGTCACTTTAATATGTAATATCGTTATATTAAAAATAAATATGTTTATTTTTGCCTCAGTATACAAATCTTGAATTTTAAAACGATGTATTATTTTTAACAAATTATTTAATTTTTTTAGTATTATATAAAAATATATTTATTATCGTAAAATTGTAGTATAATACAAATTTCTATTCCACAGAAAACTTATATCGTAGGTTGTGTGTATATGATTAAATATGAAAAAGACTTTTTCACAATTCAAACTTTTATAACTCGGGAAAAAGTTGAAACATCCATGTCAATTTTCATGGAATGAAAATTGTATAGCTAAAATAAAAGAAGTAATATTAAAAATGTTTGTATCAATTTCTCTTTGATTTTAAAAAGCAAGTAGCACATGAGATGAAAGTAACAAATCATCGAGGGAAAAAATAAATAAAAATTAAAAAATTGTTTACGTAAGTAATACACACGTAATCCATACGCTCAAGTATGATTTTCGCGTCTACTTCGCATTTACTTATACACTGGATTTTATAATGGTGCCTCCAATCTGGGCCAGCGTGACTTCCACTAAGTGACAATGAGATTGGCAAACATTTGGTTAAATTTGTACTCGAAAATTTCACACAAACACTCCATGAGAATTGAAAACGATTCGTGCGTTGAACGTTGTTCAGGTTTGAACATTCATATACAAATTACGAATTTTATACTGTTAGTTAAGTTTGACTTTACCAAAATTATAATGTAAGAAATTTTCCAATAGCACATAAATTAAATATGATTTTATTAATCAACCTCTTCCAAGAATATTTATGGCTATGTGACATTATTTTTGTTCAGTTTCTGGAAAATTGAGAATCTTCTTTTTACATAAAAAATCAATATATAAAAGAATAATATTTTCATGGCTAAAAACTAATTCATAGTCGTACTGCTGTATTCTTTACGAAATCCTAACAGATTATTGATTATTATTATGTTTAATTTTCAAAAGCTTATTATATGACAATATTTAAATGTAAGCAAATTGTTCGAAATGTGTGCAATATAAAAATTACATTTTCTTATCCATTAATATAAATATTTTTAAAATACATCTTATGTTTCAATGATATATTACTATATTTCTTTATTTTTGTATAAATATTTCATGTAGAGTTTTATCAAATAAACTATTTTATGAAATCAAATAAAGGTCAAATAAAAATTGATTGAAAGAAAGTAATAATTCGTTTTTAAAATATGATAATAATAACATAGTATTTTAACTTAATAATATACACTTATGAGAATATTAATACAGATCTTGTACAGTTTATTTGTAAAATAACCTTTACTAAATCCATAGTTTTAAAAATACTTTTAGTTTTAATAATAATATATGTAAAGTTATTTATAAAAAATAATTATACAATTTTCTAAAGATTGATCGCAGATACTTTAAATATTTAATATGAATTTATAAAAGTTTGTCTATTTTATTACAGAAAATGCAATGCAAAAAGAACGAACTTTTGGACATAAAAGAATTCAATTTATGATAATGCCTATGATTTACAAAATGGGGATAATAATGACAATGTTAGTTGTTATAACGGTTATTTCATTTAAAGGATTAATGATTGGTAAGTAGTAAAATATTTCACAATCTCTGGTAACTGTTACATATAGTAAAAAAAAGGAAATTTGTATTTGTATCTTTGAAGTTACTCTTTGCATATTAAACAAATATTTGGATGACTTACATTTTAACTATAGAGTTTTTAACCATTCAAATCTTAACATTTTTTACTTTGTAACTTTTTCTTTTATAAATATACTCAACAAAGTTTTTGATATAACATTTAAATGATTAATAGTGATGTAATAAAAAAAAACTATATCATACCAAATTACTGATTTATAAGCTGTTTTATTTTATTAATGCGAATATTCATTATCATAACTGTTTAAATTTTAGTATCCACATTAATAATGTTATTAAAATTATTAATTATTAAATTATTAATTAATAAATTAAATTAAGTTCTCTAAGTTTATAATGTCATAATAAAAACATGAATAAATCTTATATCAATAGATTATTTAAATATGTAAAAAGATAGACATATAAAAGGGTGTCTAAAAATAAAATCTACTCAGATGTATGTGAAATACATTGTTTTTATGACAAAATAATTAAAACAGTTGTAAAATATAAAATAACTGAAATTTATTTTAATAATCAATTTACAGTTAATAATTACGTAATAATATTATATAATTTTTAATAATTATAATAAACTATTTAAATAGCATTCTATTTTATTGTTAATTTAATGTTAATTTTAAATGAATAGATATTTTCTTGAAAGTGGTATTAACAACCACTATTGCTAAAAAATTTACGTAATATTATTTTTAATATATTCCTTTAATGCCTTTTATATAAAAAAGAGGGGGAAAGTAATGAATGAATGAAATATAGAAAGTTGCTACAACTATAATATTTTCAAGAAATTTAAATTTACGTGAGGAAGTTGAAAAATATCTTATTTAATTATTGAGATAAATTAAACTAAAGACAAGATTCAACATTCATTCCCATTCGATTTACAGGGGTTGCCCTCTTCGTTCTCAAGCTTAGTACTATCTTCGGCAAATTCTTCACAGGACAATCAGCTGGCACCTGGATGTTGCCGCAACATTTGCACCAATTGCCGCAACCAATTCATTTTCATCTGCACAACAGTGGGCCTTTCGAAACCCACACTGAGACAGGTTGGGAAACTGTAGGTAATGGAGGCTTCTACGAAAACTACTATTACAAAGGATAAGATAGAATTTTATAATTCTTATTGCACATTAGACTTAGTTTCGCGATCAATTCCTTTGTTCATTATTTTTCAAATAAGTCGCGTATTAAATAATAAAATGAATAAGAACAAATAATTTGTTTTTATGTATTACAAAATAGGATTTAAAATATTAATATACAATAAGTATACTAATATGCATTGATCAACTATAATTTTTAATTTCATTGGAATTTAAATCGATATTGACGATTGGCTATAATAAAATATATAATTAACTCGAATATTTAAGTTTGTAAAGGAATAGTTATATATTTAACTAAAAGTAATTAATATTATTTATTTTTTTATAAAACTACTTTATTCTATCAAGCATCTAACTGTTATCTTAAAATGAAATATTTTCTATTATTAATAAAACCTTTTTATCTTTGTAAACAAATGTATTAATTAATTATTAAATTTGTTGATTAATTATGTTATAGATTAGTACTTTAAATGTAATATTCTGAAAATCTGTTATAGACTATAATAAAAATAGTGTTACATTAAATTTATTTGTAATATTAACATAAATTTGAAACTAATGAATTTTAAATGTAAATAATAAATTAGCATTGATAGATATTTTGTTGTTTACTCATATATAGATTAATAATTCATTTTTCCTTAAAAATATTTGAATCATAATAAAATATTTAATTGGATAAATATTTATCAATAATAATGAATAGGAAAACAGTTAGATTCAAATCATTTAGAATAGATCAAATTCGTTTTATTTAAAAAAAAATAGTTAAATCATAATCATAAGATTTAAAAATATGAATTTTAGCTGTTTATACACAAAAAATAAGCAGTATTTTAGTAGCATGTAAATAAGTTTTAAAATTTCTATTATTGACATATTTTATCAGTCACTATAAATATTATATAACCAGTTGTAAATACATTTCTTAATCTAACTAAAAGAATTAATATTGATATAAGTATAAAGCTTTAATTATTTCCAATAATTCAACAAAACATTTATATTTGTATTATAAAAGGTGCAAAAACAATTAAACTATTTTATGATAATTTAAATACGAGAAAACTAATTATATATAGTCTTAAAAAAACTATATCTATTTTATAGTCTACAGTTTAAAATAAAAATTAGGTTTATTTTTAATCATATTCTACAATTGTTGTTATTAAAATATGAAAAAGTTTGCTATATTTTGATAGCATTCAAATAAATATAATTGAATACTTTTATTTCTATAAACAAACTTTTAATTATATAGAAAATTTATTTATAGAAATAATTTGCAGATGTGTATGATTAAAGTTATGAAAATATTTTAAGATTATTTTTATTCCTATTTATTAACTTCTTTCTACGTTTTATTTTAATTATGCATATTAAATTCATATTATTAACTTCATTTTTAAAATGAAATTTTTCATAGCACTATTAAAATGATTGTATTACATAATTTATTATTTAATTTAATATTTTGTCAAAATCTATATTTTTTAATAAAGTATTACCTAACATAATATTTATGTAGAGTAAATATAAGGTAGAAAAAAAGTATTATTCTATATTTAATTAATTTTTTAATTTATCGTTAAAAAAAACATAGTAATTACAGAATTAGTTAAAGTGAATTTTATTTGCAATAATATTCAATTACATATTTTTGAAAGATACAATAAAATTTTATATACAATAATTTTTAATTATTAAATATTATAAATAGTTCATAGTGAGTCAAAATAATTAATAATTTAATATAATTGTTGTATACATAATCTCATATAAAATATTATTAAAAGTTGAAGTGTAATAAGTATTTATCAAAGATATTTTTTTTTCTTGAAGTATTTATCTCCAACATAAATAGTAAGCTATAAGTATTGTACCAATAATGGGTAATAAATAAACATGTTCGAATTAATATTGATATTTTATTACGTATTATAAATATCATTGATTATATAAATTTATTAAATATCAATAATGTTTGTATACCACTATTTATTTTTAGGGATAATATTTATATTATTTAAATGAACAATTTAATAAAATTCTTTATCTATTATGAGATAATAATTTTATATTCTGAAATCATATTATTCCTCAAATTTTCATTTCTATATTTATAATAATATATATATGCGCTGCTTACAATAATATACAATAGTTTGTATTGATCATACATAATTCATTTGTAATTTTTCTAAATCAGCCACTATGCTCCAGAATGATATATTATCTAGAATAATTTATGCTTTTTAAGTCATTATCAGATTAAATAAATATTTTATATATATAATTTCGCACATACAAGAATATAAAGAAAGGAATGTAAAAGTTTTTATCAAATTATATAAAAATTCAGCAACACTTGTCCAAGTTAATTTATCCTTAATTTTCTTTCTCAAAATCCTTAATTAGTAGTTATTCGTTTAAGTACAACCAAATTATATTATTATAATATCGCAGTTTATTGACATGCCAAATACGCTTGCTTGTTCCCGTTACTGTAATAATATCTGCAAATAATTGGAAATTATTAATAATGTTTATGAAAGTGAAGAAATAAAAAATAGGAAAATTATAAACACAAAACATGCTGCAATAATAAAAAGATATTTTTTTGTTCACATTAATTTGTAAGAATAATTAATTACATAGATTATAAATAAGTTGTATTTAGTTAAAATTGAATTAGAAGAATAATTTATAATAATTTAGTTACCAATACAAAAAATTTATAATTGGTTCAAGGTAAACTTATGAAATTAAAATTAATATGAAATTATTGTAAAATAGACAAAAAATTATTATTGATTTAATATTATGATAACTTGATATTAAAAATATTGATAATAAACATATACTTCATAATATAATACCTCTTGTTTTTGTTTAATATATTTATAGTTGTAAATATTAATATTTTATTATTTTAATTTTTACAACTACTGATGTCAATTGGATCTTTAAATGTACGATCTGTATTATTTATGAGTTTGAAAATCTAGATCTTAGAATGTTTAAGGAAGCTACTCTCATGTATAATTTCAGAAAATTAAGTTATTATATAAATTTAAAAGACTAAAATAATGACAATTGAAGAATATTTAATAGATCAATTTTATTTATATGATAAATTTTATTAAAAAATATACGAAACATAAAAATATATAAAAATTATATGAAATATAATTATTATATAATTATCGAGTTTGGGATTCAAGATTCAAGTATATTTTTTATAACAATATAAATCAAGATATCACTTAAACTTACATATGAATATTTTCTAAAATTTACATATTTTTTTACATTTCTTGAATTATTTTTTGTATGTATATAATTATAAATAATCTTCAATTACCAAATATAATGTCTTTTACATAAAAAATATATTGAAAGAACTATCATTTTATTTTTAATAATTTAAAAATAAAAAATGTGTTAATTATTTAAAATAAATATTAAATTATTCAAACTAAGATATAATGTTTCTTAAATTGTTCTTGTCTTCTTATGTTGTTACTTAATCTTATAAATTATTATTATTGTATGAAAAATGAATTATATAAATAAATTTCATTATAAAGAAACAAGTTATTGAAAGAATTCAGCTACACAAATAATTTACATACAAATACATAAATTATATTTTTATATGTTAATTATTAATTAATTCTCACATGAAATAATTATATCAAATATAATGAAATATTGGTATTATTAAAATTATAAAAATTGCGATATATGTAAAGCATTTTATTAATTTCTTTAATATATACATTTTGAAATTAATAATATATAAAAAAATTTCATAAATATTAATAATACCAATATTTGATTGAAAAATAATTATTAATAAAATAAATTAAAAAAAATAAAATAAAATACAGAAAAGTAGTTTGAATTTTTGGATCAATTGTATTAGCTAAAAATATATTAATAATTTTTAACCACTATTCGGTAAAACAGAAATAAATATATCAATTTTCAAAATCTATTTTTCTTTATATATAATTATTTTATTCTAAATAATAATACTTTTCTATATAATGAATTTGTATAACAACTAATAATAACTTCTTATAAACTAATATTTTGAATAAGAATTGAAAGTGGTAAACATAATACCACTAAAATATTTTTTTTTAATATATTTTTTTGTGTTTTTCATTATAATATAAAAAATTATGATTGTTTCTTTATTACCAGAAGTTGCATAAGAGATTTAGATTGGAAATATATTTTTATAATTATACCAATATGTAATTTTGCTATATTTAATTTCTATAAATTCATATAAATTAAAACTATTTTATTTATTTTATTTTCAAAATATTTATAATCTTATAGTGTAATATATAATTATTTCATTTTATAATTTGAGTAAATCAACGGAACTTGTATTATATACTATTGAATAGATTAATTAACTATAGAATTTTATTTATAATTAACGAATAACATCTAAAATAATTTTTTAATAACATCTATTTAATTTATTACAATAGTTTTGGTTTTATAGAAGATGTAATCTTGTGTTTTAAATAAAAGAATTACAGACACAATTGATTAAAACTCTTTATATTTACGTAATTAAAATCTTACTTTTTTCTATAAAATTTTACAGATATATTATTTTATAATAATAAAATTTGTTAACTAATTTTAGGATATTGCTTTTACGTAATCATACTTCTAGACATAAAATAAATACACATTTTATGAAACTATATTGTTATGAAATTATATGGCCTTGTTAAAATAATTATGCCATGCATCTATAACTAAACATTATAAGTATAATAAAAATTCGTAATATAAATTTTATTATTAATTAATATATAAAATATAAATTTACAATTATTAATACACATGTATTATATTAATAAAACCTAAAAATTATTAATATATATATTTTTTTATTATATTACTTATATGTTAATAAAAAATATATGAGGTATTATTTTTTTTAATTTCTTATAATATATTAGAGAAACTAGAAAAAATATGAGATATTAAATAAAAAAAGTATATTCAATTTAATAAAAATAAATCATAATTTTTCAAAA